CCTACATTGCAGCACGAGGAGAGGTTGGACAGTAACAGTACAGCTTTAAATGAAAAAATGTTTGAAGTGCAAAGCTTGTAATAAATTATTAGCTTACATTTGGAACTTTAGGGCCTGGGCAGACACTTAAAAACCGCAAACATACACATAGCCAAACAAACCCAAACTACTGCAGAGATCCAAAGCCACTCTTAAAAGTTTTGGTTTTCATTACCTTCACTTGGTGATCAGTTTAACTTGAAAGGGTATCAACTTTAAATAAAATTAATAGCTGATTGTAACATAGCTGGTCCTAGGAAGAACAGGAAATGCATTATTTTTGTTTTCCACAGGTATTCCACAGACAAACAGGGAGTGAACTTCAGGTTTTAAACATATCCCAACCAAAATGACAGGGTGCCAAAAGGCAGCCAGATTCTTTAAAGTCACTGCTTTGCAGTGTTGTTGTTTCTCATTCACTCTTAACAGGAGTGCAACTTTACAATGCTGTCTAAACAGTGTGAAAAGAAAGGAATAACTTAAATAAAGGCTTTTACAGTTCCCTAGTAGTGTGTGTCACTCAAACCACAGCCACTCTTAATCCCAGTTCCAATAAACAGTGAAAACTATTCCCTTAAAGTCCATGTTGCAAAGCAAGGCAAAGGAAATGGTTCAAGAGACTGTCTTTCTCAGGGGCCCCGGGGAATGCCAGGATCTTTAGCAGCCAAGTCAGCTCATTAGAAAAAGGCAGAAACTAGCTCAAAGGTAAACACTACCATGGAATAAAGGAGAATTATTCTTAATGTGTTCAGATTTTAGTCAGCCCTCTAAAGAGGAGGAAATTCAATAGAACAAATAATTTTCAGAAGTGGACTAGCTGTCTAGGAGCTTGATTTTTTTTTTTTTTTTTTTACAGAAAACTGGTCTTTTTTTTCAAAGCAAAAGGCGAGATAGTCTTTGCATCCCAAATGTAGAACATATTTTCAACCAGGAGAATGTATTTCCAGAGTACCCATTGTTAAAGCACACTCATCAAAGTATCGCTATGTGGTTTAGTGGTTGGAGTAAGAAATTCTAGGTCACGGCTTTGGCTAGCTCTGCCTGCCATGGTGTTCACTTTTATCCACAGATAAGTTTTTTAGTTACTCTGAATTTATATACCCCCCAGAACTGGTTTTATTGCACCTGTCAAATGCATGTGAACTCGCCCTTATTTAATATCAGTAAAATACTTAGTAATTCTAGAGCAACATTCAGCTGAGAGTCTTGAAAGAAAAATGTTATTTCTATAACCTGAAGAGAAGATGATGATTTAGGGACATTTGCTTCTTCTCTTGCTGGTTGAAACTTGGTCCACATCACAAATAAATTCCTGACGTGATGGCTGTTTGGTATCTTTTATCAAATAACACATAGTCTTGATTCCATTCCAAGCAAATAAGTGATTATCAAAACTAAATCAGGTTACTCTTCATGGTATGGATCTTTTTGGATGCTACACAAAAATGATGAATAGGCTACATAATGGAAGAGACGTAAAACAGAAGTATGGGGGATGACAAACTATACAGGGTATCACAACCTGAAAATGTTTTATGATTGTTGAAATGCCAATATGACAAGCATTCATACAATATTCTGTGCCCTGCAGAAACACAGGAATCTTATGATTGTGAAACTCATTACTAACAGTAATGCTCAGGTGAGAGCCTTTTTTCAGACTTTCACAGAGGAGAAACAGAACAAAAAAAAGCTATGTAACTGGAACACACACACACACACACAAAAAAAAAAAAGGGAGAACTGCTATAATCCATCCTAGATGGATGGGGGGAGAAAAGGCAGGAATTTACTTTCAGTCCCAGGACCAGCACAGAGAAAGTAGCAGCACACTTCATTTTCTCTCAAGAGCCAGGAGAAAACCCAGCGTAACAATCAACTTTATGTTAAGCTCTCAATTGGGAACACCTAGAGCATATCTACATCAACATTTTAGCCCAGACCAGGAATAGTCTCCTTTCATAAATTTTGTGACTGTTCTCCCTTGCCCTGTCTTTGTTCACATCTTAGAACATAACATATGCTTTAACACAGCTCTGTGCTAAAATGTGCTCTGATTGCTAAGGGGCAATCAGTTTAGGTGGCAAGACTCGATCTTTTGTAAAGAGAAAAACACTGAACTGTGCAGAGTGTGGGTGCCAGGTCCCTTGCTTTTCCTTTACAAATTCACTGCTATCAGGCCACAGGACTTGCTAATGTAGATAGATATAACTCTACACACTGCCCATCGCTTGGGTTGGACTGTTACTTCCCCACACAGACTTTCAAAATAAAGCACCCAAACTGTTACAGGCCAAGAGAGGGAACAGAGAGATTACTGATAAGGAAGAATTCAGTAAGGGAAAGTAGGTGATTAAAGAAGCAGGTCAAAAAGAGTGAGGCCTTTTCCTCCAATCTCTGGGAACTGCTACCAGCCAAGAAAATAAGTTCAAGAAACCCAAGCAGGATATATGACTCTTTCAATTTCTACTGAATTATAAACTGAATGGTTTTCAAGCTTTCAATGGAATATGCAGGTACCACGGAGCCATAATAGTCAGATTAAAAATGCATTATGGATTCCAAGGAGACTAAGCTATATCTCTGGGTAACTCAGTGGAATTTATTAGTCCTTGCAGAGTGGCTGCTATTATTATCAAAAGCAGTTATTCATTTTAAAAGTGTGACTGTCAATTTAAAAATGTCCCAATGTAACCTAAGCCCCCTGCTAGCTTACAGACTTCAAGCTATCCAGAAAACAGATCTTTAGGGGGTATATCATGAATTATTTATTTCTTGGCTTTCTAGAGCCATTCTTTTTGAAAGAATTACAATCCTGTAACTATGATGGTAGAAAGAACAAGAGAATCTTTGAAGTGCATAAACACTGCAAGATACAAGTTTTTTAAAATAGAGTGCTGAACCAAACCTGAACCGAGTTCAAGCTGTCCAACTAGAAGTGAAAATGAATTATTATTTTGGAAGTACTTCTGCAAATTGCACCTCCAGCTGACGCTCCAGCCACAGCTAACCACAAATCAAAACCAAACCACTACATTTTACTGGGGATACTAGTTGTCATTGTCAGTTCTTGTCAAAAGATTCTTGAGTATTATAATTACAGCAATATTTGCAGCTCAGTCATATTTTCAGATCATCTCCTCTGGGAAAAAAGTTTAAAAAGTTAAACTGAGGATATTACTTCTAATATGTTATTATATTCTTTACTAAAAAAAAGTAAGTTTAAGCCATATGAAACTTCTCAGTAGCATTCAGTTTGCCAAGAGACACCTAATATTTTTTTGCTTATACACAAAAGCCACAATATAGATGAGTCTTCTCTAGCTGCATAAATCCTCTTATCTCACCTTAAGACATCTGGCAAGATAGGAAAACATGCAGGATGCAGATGCAGGATACTGACATCTTCATTCAATTCACTATGACCTAGAAAGAATCTGCCTGAAAAACATGACCCCTTCTTGTGCTGTGCCTCAGTGTGGAAGTTGCCATTTGTTATCCGCATTTTGCTATATTTTGCTATAAATACATTCAAAATACACATGTTCACACTGGATGAAAATTGAATGGCATTTATAGTATTACACCAGCAATTAACCAGAACACTGGAATTTGTTCCACAGAAGCTACGATTGTTCGAAACCCCTCTGGCTCTCACCCACAAAGGACAACCTCTACTTTCTCACTAGAAAAACAGAAGTTGCATCTGTTTCTTTGGAAGTAATCTGTGCGGGACAGTGTTCTAATTCTCAAAAGAGAAGATAATAACACATTTTTAACAATGGTTTTAAGCAATTTTTAATTAATTCTCCTCTCCTTTGACCCCAAGAAAGGAGAGATGAATACAAACAATTTAAAAGCATTGAGCACTCACTTTCCACCATATTTCTGATTCAAAATACATTAGTGATTAAATAGAAACAAACTACAAATGCATAGAAATGTTCAGTAATTACTTTATAACCTCATGTATACTAGAACTGGTAGTAAACAAATTTCAAATTCCACAGCATTTTTTTGGCATGTAACTAAAAGTTATTCCCTCTTTGGAGACCCACTCATTCATTAAACTCTTTGCTGAGGGATAGGAAAAATATTTTTGGTGCACATAATGCATAGCTTTGCCATTAGTTAGGCTGCAATTTGGCAATAGCAGGGACATGCAGTATCTTTGACATCATCAGTATGGCGTTAGTGCTGTTGGGCTACAGCCACTTTCCTGAAACATGTTAGATGCAGAGGCATAAAAGGAACCAGATTACAGGGAAGCCACTACAAAAAGATGTAAAATGCAATTTTCTACATCTATCCTTTATGTTTATCCAGCGTAAGACCTTTTGCTGTGTTCTGCAAAGTTAACATGATGATTATACTGGGATATCCACCAGTATCCCAATGTCCTTAATTACTCTAGCAATTCAGTTTTGACATGCTTTTAAGCAATGTCTCTGAAAGCATAAACGAGAATGAGTGTTTTTTCCTCAAAGGTTTACATTGTCAGAGATAATGTGGCAGAAACGGTGAGGTGTACATGTGTTGGCTAAAAAATGTATTTTTTTAGCTACACAGTCATTTACATGCTCTGTAGCTGACCCGGCTTACGTTTTTGTCTGAGGCAAATGGGGAAAAAGATACGGTGCAACAAATACTAAAAGCAAGGAAAAAACTCCAGACTTTTCTACTAGTTTGTCAAGAAATAGATCATCTATTCATTGGCTCTTCACATTTCCTAGCAAATATGACATTCCATCAGGCAGAAACACAGGAAATTTAATTTTGGAGCAATTACACCTTTGCAGACTTTCTGTTTTCATTTTTGGTTTTCCTTCAAGTTATTAGTGTTAGTGATACGCCTGGCTAATCCCATCCTCACAGGAGCAGGTGGTGCATGACACAGCTGTGTTTAAGCTAGAGACACTAGTAGGCTTGCTTAGACCTTTATACCAGATGAAGTTACTTACCTAACTAAATGGGAAAGGATCAGGTCACTACTTGCAGACTGGTACCAGTCTTAGCAGGTGCATTGCAAGGGTTTTGCAATAATGTCTATGTCAACAGAGAGAGCAAAAACAAAGGTGCAGGTTAGTAGGGATGAAAAAAATCTCCAGAAGAATATTGTTCAAAACATTCAAGTTTTACATAAAAAAGAGCAGGGTATATTTTTCCTTCAAGGCTGAGTACCTATACCATTCTAGTTTCCTTATTTACTGAAATCCCCACTATGACTTCACCTTTCCGATTAAGGCTTGTATTGAAGAAATGATAAAAACACGTCTTGCTAGAAGTTGTTCTTTTGCCTTTACTTGAATTAAGCAGGACTGATGTGAATGTGAATTTCATTAGGTACAAGAAACTGGAGAGTCAAAATGCTGTTTTTACAGAAGCTTTGCAGTAGGACTTTTTTCCCTGTGAATCTTCTTTTTTCCTGGTGAGCGATTGCACTATAGTGCATTTACTCACAAAACATATATATGAGAAAAAACATGATGCTCAGCAATTGTATTATCTGAAAAAATAGCCTGGCTTAAAAATGAAAATGACAGATTTTAACAATTTTAAGTAGGAGTTTTACTGTTCCATCAGCATAGCTAACTTATGTAATATCACATAAGTAATACTTAGGTATCTACCACTCATGTAGCACCATCATGATTTTTATCCATAACTGACAAATGTACATATATTAAAGGTTTTATTTATACTGGAGTAGCTTAGTCCATTTTTATGCAACGTAACTGTTCTCATAATACCACACACCAGAACTGACATAGTAAATCTGATCCAGCAACTGTAAACCAGATATCTGTTATAAAAGCTGATGACTTTTATGTTCTTGATGAGATAGTACTAGGTGGCAGCTTCTGCCTGTCCAAAGCTGTGGATGGAATAGTATTTACTGGTCACCACATTGGCTGCATCAGGCAACTGAAAAACAGATGATACATAAGACAAGGTCCAGATGATCCCTGAGATTTTCGTAAGCATATGAGACGTGCTGACTGCGGCAAAAAGTGAGACCTCATGTGAGACAAAGGGCCAAATTTCGGGACATGAAAAGCATATCTTTTCTTCAGGTATCTGCAGTTCATTCCTTTCACATAAATAAGTGCCTAAAACCTCTTCGGACAGTTTCCAGTTCCGATATAAATAATATGTCAACTAGAAGTAACCAGGAAATAAACTTTCCTGGAACACAGTTAACACCAAACAAGAGAAACGTCCACTCTGGAATCAGCATAGCCTTGTAACTACGAATGAATAAGAAACATATAGTCCAGTGAGCAAATGAAATACCAATTCTGTCATCCAGCCTAATGGAAAGTTGGGATAACACAGAAAAAGCAAAACCATAGATGATCCTGGGTATATAAAGAAGGCATTAAGAAGAAAGTCAGTGGGAGTGCAATGCTGAAGCAGGAGGGCAGTTCTATTCTCTGTGACAACTGTGCTGCAAGCAGGTTCACTAGCACGGATGCAGTGCTACTTCCAGACCTGAGCTGACTTAAGCACAATCAGTACTTCCACAAAAAGCAGCTTCCAATACCATCCTCACCCCCTCTTTTCACAGGTCTCACTAGTGCCCATTAGCTCTCCTCATCTCTTATTATCCACTGTTGACCTGTACTATCCACTAATTATCCTTTCTTTTATCTTAATCCGTCACTCTCTTCTCCCTTCTGCCATTGTTGTAATTTATTTTCTTGAAGCCTCACTCTACATAAGCACGCAAACTCTGCGGGCTTATACATATTGGCAGAAAAAATCTGGTTGTCTTCCCATGAGAACATAGAGAAGAAGTAGCAAACAGCCAGGCTCCATATCTGGCTCCTGGAGCTTGCTGTAGAATAGATTTAATGGCATCTCAGTTAAACACAGAAAAGCATATGAGCAGAGATGCCATACACAGCAAAGGCACAACCAAAAAAGTACAAATGACACCCTCCACACATTTCAAAAATCAAATAAAGAGTCATCCCTCCCCTCCTCAGGCAGCTATGGAGTATTTTCATTGTATGCTTTAACACCCATATATCCAAAGGTAGCAACAGACCTTCTTCACTTGACAGCCATTTACAAAGCACTGAGGACATTTAAGAAATGCCCTTAGTGAATGATCTCCTACAGCATAAGGCAGGTTAGAAGAATTCCCAAGTGACAGTAACTCACAGGGCTCTCTCCACTCAGCTGCTATTTCTGTGACTGGTGATGCTGCCACAAGCAGCGGTTCCAAGGCAGACGTTTCCAGAGCGGTAAGGCTGCATCTGCTCCTGGTTCTCCTCTCCCTAAGCTCTGCTGCTCTGCTTCTTTGCTCTGTCCTGTTCCTTTGCCATGCTCTCTCTGATTCCTTGGTCAAATGAGAGAAAGGATAGGGTAAAAGGGCTAAGATGCCTCAGCTACTGTTCTGGCCATGGATGCTGAACTGTTAAATTACTACTAGAGACAAGAATACAGTACCTTCTAAAAAGGAATAAATAAAACACTTCAAAAGCTAGTGCTACAGCTAAAAAATCTACATGAAGGTTTGAAAAATGATGCAAATCCAAACCAGGGTGTCTCACAGAACTACTCGTATCCTTTGCAGTTTTCATACAATTAATAAGCAATGCACTGACACCTTAACATCAAGTAAGTGGGGAGGCCCCAAGACTTGAAGCCATAAACTGACCTCTTGGACAGTCAGATACCAGGTGCAAAACCTCTGTGCTCCAAGAGGTTCTATTATGTCAATTCCCTACTTTGCAGTTTGAGACTTAGTCTAAGAGACACTGCTCGGCACGCTACCCACAGCAAATAGTTAATGCATGTTAAAACAGGATATGTTTACTAAAATTCTGCATATGAATGAGTTAGAAATGAAGACAAAACCAATCACTATAAAGCATATCACCCACTGTCTTAGCTCCTTCTGCCAGAGAGGATATCTGCTGCTGTCTAATAATCATTAGTATAGTACACTGAGTTTGAGTGCATGACAGTTATATTGGCCAGTAAGTACCTAAAGGGAAAGA